CAACTATAGCCCAAGTGAATGATGTAAGGGAAATGAACTAACAAGAGTTTAACGAAATATACTACATATTGCAAAAAACAAAGCGAAGCAAGATGGAACTAAGTCAATTCCAATGAACAAAATTTTTGGAATTCGCATAAGGAAAATATTACACTTTGGCTGAACTTTTAAATTGACATAAATTTAGAAATCTAAAGCGGATATGGTCGAGTTGCCGTTATGTCAAATACGCATTGCAAAACATCGAAACTTTTAGTCAAAGGCTTGAGCACTAAATATCCATTTTAAGAGTATCTTCTGACAGTTTCGCGGAAAAAAAAGATTTGCAAGGGCTCATCTAACATAAACTTAAGATATGGAGGAAATTGCAATAGATCTAGCGTTTACCCGTCTACAGATGGAAAGGAAATTACTGAGTGCTCAAGGAAGCATTAATTTCAAAAAAAGATCCAGATGCGTTAAATTTGAGAGGCAGAAGCACTACGATAACGAAAGGGAAGAAACTTTACGACGATTTGTTATGACTTACAAGAGTGTTGCAGGCCAGAAACAAAATGACCACCATAATCATTGTGATAGTGTCATCACCACTGCTGGAGCTCGCTTTTGGCTTCAAAAGCTTATCGGAAGAATCCAAACTGGAAAAAATTGATAATGGAAAAGAGTTCTTTTTTGTGTGATTTGTTAGAAGGGTTGGATGATCCGAAAATTTCTTCTTCTTTAAACTAGAAAAGCTTTGGAAGCTCAAAACGTAGATAGCAAAATATAGGAAAGGGAAAAAGACTTACACCTCTTTCTCCTTGCCGGATTCGAGACTTTGGCGAAAGACAATGATTGCATTGAGGCAGAGCAGAAAGAGGAAAGGCAATAGTGTCATGAGCACCATGTACATGTACACATTGTAGACCATATTTACAGCAAAGAATAGCGACGTCGGACAGATTTCAATTATTTGCTCCTCAAATAAGTTGACAATTTTCAAGATTTTAAACAATAGTTGATCTTCCAAAACCTACTCCGCTTGCTTCGTGGAAGCATTTTCGTAGATTGAACTGAGGAAATCTCAAGGAGTTGTACAGAACAGACACTACCACGATCGTCGAACATATTTGCTTTGCTCGTCGTATGGT